AACATTTTATACAAAATTTATATGGTTTAAAAGATCGCATAAAGTTAAACTTATATTCAATCTTACGGGTAGACATTTTTTTTGAAAATTTCTTGTGAAAAAATTCTTTTTCGTTTTTCAGGTTACTACATTTCTTATCTTCATTATTCGGATAAATATCAATGTGAGATGTGCGTCTTAACGATAGAAAATCAATCGGCTTCCTTCCCGGGTATTGACTTAATATCTTTACATGACCTGAAGATTATATACGTTCATATATTATCAATAAATTTTTATAGAAAGTGTTAAATTCGTTAGTAGTATAAAGACAATTGATACTTTTTGGACATAGACACATACACGATACAATGTTAGTAGAAAATACACATTTACGACGAATAAACTATTTCTATAAAACAGTTGGTATCAAATACGTTTTTATTGCTTTTATCACATATCTCAATTTATTATAAAAAGTAATTTCAGAAAATATCAACTTGTTACTTTTTATAAACTTACAGTCTTGTTGCATGAAAAGAGCGCTGTTTTTGATAAACAAAGTGCTCTTACAGTAAGTAAGAAACAAAAAAGTATTTTTTTGAGCTTATCAAGAATTTTTTTAAAATTTGTAAGTATTCCAAATATAAACTATAACCATAACTAAATTTGTAAATAATATACGAAAAATAATACGAATAAGCTTACTTATATAACTTGTATCATATCAGTTTTTTATATAAATTTATCAATTTTAATAATAAAAACATGAATAAAAATAGCAAAACATTAGCGATAAAAAATGATAAATGTATTGTAAAATATAATTAATTTAATTTTAAAGATTCGGTAAAGCGAAGCAATAATTGCCATTTATTCGTGAATATCACTTTGTCCTATCTGTCTTAAATTGATATACGTTGATGCCATCTTTGGATGAATTTTCCGACAATGTTTAATGACATCATTAGCAAATTTAGAAATATATTGACAATAGGGACATTTCATATGAGGTTCTTTGTTACAGTCGTACTTAATGTGTCTCGCAAGGCGTCTTGCGAATTCGAACGACTTATTACAGCTTACGTTGGGGCATTTAAACTGTTTCTTATTCGTGTGGCATTCGAACTTTAAATGATTCAGCAATTTACTTTTGCTGCTTAATATACTTTTGCAGCCTGTTGCTGGACACTTGAATGGTTTTTCTTTGAATCGCTTGTTGATTCCATTTTCAATATCAGAATCTAAGGAACAATAATTTTCAATTATTGTTGAATATCTAACCATTTATTAATTACAAAATTCTATACTTACGGTCGTGTTCTTCATCTTCAATTCGCTCGCACTCGGAGATAGCGTCCACTATGCGTAGCTTTTTTAGATGAATATACGTTAGTGAATGTTGTAGAGTGCCATTGATATTATTGCTATTGATATCTGTAAAACAACATACAATGAAAAAACTTTTTTTCAAATATAAGCGAGAAGAAAAGTTATATTCTCAAGAATGCCAGAAGAATCTTTAGGTTCAAGCAGGCAGTCATGCAGAGATTTTTTCACAATGTCATGATCTATTAAAGAAATAATATTGGTTATTGAAAACATATTTGAAAATTTTTTTAGTAGCTCCAAACTTTGGAAAGGAGTAAAGATTTAATGATTGAAATTCACTTTGTACCTTGGTGCGTGTTAAATAGGTTATTTACAGAGATGAGAAGTTACAATAAGCATATTTTATAAAATGGTAAAAGCTTCTCGTATTTAATTTGCGATTTCGGAAAATTGATCGCTATAAAATTTTTATTGCAGTAAATCTCATTTTTTTTATACTACGATTAGACCTTTTTCAAGACATAATTGTGAAAAATATATTTTGGTTTTTTGCAGCATACGAAATTACACTGATTTATGTTATATTGAGATGTATGATAAAAATCTATTATAAAATATTAAATATTACTAGGAAATATTCCAATATACATCTAAATTAATTGACAATAATATTAGTACTACTTATAAACGAATGAAAGCGAACATCAAAAAATAAAACTTAATCGCTATCTTTCAACTCAATATATCCAGCTTCTAATCCAGGATGGACCTTGTGGCAATGTTGTGTCACATGATCAGCTCTCTTCGTAATGTAATCGCAGTATGGACACTGTCGTTTAGGTTTACGTTGACATACGTATTTCATGTGTCTCCAAAGGTTGTTCCAGTGCTTAAATTTTTTCTTGCAACCAGGATTTTTACACCTGAAGAACTCGCCTTCTTTTACGTACTTTTTATCACGTCTGCCTTTAGATTTCACATCACCTTGAAAACGATTGTCGTCAGTTACAGTCGTGTAAATAAACCATTCTTCTATTTCTTGTCTCTCGGTATCCGATTCTATAATCCATTCGAATTCTAAGTCTGAAGAAACAAAACGATATAATTTTTAAGAAGAAATTAGATATTTTGTGTAACATCTTGTGCTGGTGGCACGGATTTTTAACTTTTTTTTTACTGCAGTGAACATCGATGACGTGTTGAAGACTTAATCAAGTGCGATTCTTAGAAGATAGTGAACAAAGTGAAGTAGATGCATCATAGACGTTATTAAACTATTAAATATATAAAAATATCACTAACATTGTTGAAACGTCACATTCAAATACGAATTTTTACGACTAATAAATAAAAATAACAGTAATGATTCCATACATTAAAGAATAGTAAAATATCAAATAAACAAATGAATAATTTTATTTTTATCATGTGGTTAAAAATTATTGTCACTGACAAAAATACAAAACGAACGATTAAATATATCTTTCTTCAATCAACTTTTTAAAATAAATAATAACTAAATTTAATTATTCTTTAATCTCTCGATGGGGCATTTTCATTTTGCGAAGCTTTAAAGTATCTGGAAACTTGTCCTAGATGAGCTGCTTTTCAATGCGCACTAATGTCGCTTCGACGGGTCGTAAAATATTCGCAATAAGCACATTGCAATCTAACCTCTGAATATTCAGTCGACAAATGTTTCTGCAGAGTAAGCTCGGATGTAAAATATGTTCCGCAGTTTGCAGTTGGATATTTGTATATTTTATTTTTCACATCGTTGATCAAGGTAACGTACTTTTTGCTTTTATCGGAATGACGTCTGTAAGAATGATTATAAATTTGAGGTGGCTAGAAAGCGACATGGTCACAGTAAATTCGGCTTTCGTACTTGTGATGATTGTAAAGCGAGTTTTTATTCGTGAAAAACGTTCCACAGCTTTCATAGGGGCATTTTACGCGTTTAAATTCAGATTTTTCATTGTTTTTAACTGTTTCTTTACCGTTTTCAATCTGCATTTTTTCGATGTTCATGTTCAAGCATGAGAGTGGTGGTTTTCCAACGTTCGCATTTTAATCTTGCATACGCTGAACATCTGTAATAGTTAAATTGATTATTTAATTTAGAAGTGGAAGTAAGCAGGGCAAATTTTAGGATATTGGTAATCACAAGAAATTCAATATTATACAAGGAAAAATCGAAATATAGGTTACTTTAACTATATTATATTTTTACAACAATTGCTATTAATAACAAGAATATAACAATTAATTATTTATAAATATTTCATTATTTTATATATTAACGGATCCGTAATTGATTCTTTTTTTTCTTCGTTCGGAAAAGTGATGATCCTATTCTAATTTTCTATTTTTGACACTAAAAACCTGCAAATAATATATTCTATGTTAGTTGTAATTGAGATAGTGTATACATTTAGAATTTTCAATTCCTATATTGCTTTAAAAAACAAGGAAAGATTTTTTTATTATTTATTGTAAAAAAAGATTATTATAACTAACTTGAATCAATCATATTATTCAAAATATTGTTTCTAAAATATAGATAATAAGTTACCTCTACGTTTGAACTACTTCAAAGTGCCATCAAATCTTATCATCGTGTATTTGACCTCCAATTTCGGATGAACCCGAAGGCAGTGGTTCATGACGTATCCAGGAAATTTCTTGATGTAATCGCAGTAATCACATTTGAAGCACATGACTTTCTTTTCGCAGTTCTTCATATGAGTTACTAATCTGTGTTTCGCAGTAAATGTCGCATTACACCCGTTGGTAGGGCATGTAAAACATTTTGTTTCTATATCTTTTTTTGGACATATGTCTGTCTCGTCGCGTACATTTTTTGCTCGTTTGCAAGAATACTTTATGTGAGATTTTGCATTGAGAAGGTAATGAAATGTACATTTGCAACCTGGGTTTGGACACTTTATCTGCTTGCTTTTTTGTTTCTTATGTTCTTGTTTATCGCATAATTTTACGGTTTTTAGATTTTCTTTTAAACTCATTGCTGTTAATATAAAATACTTCGTCAGTTTCAAACCAGATTAGAAAACTTTTTATTTTTGTAACTTACGCTGTTCTCCTTCGTGATCTCCTAACGCTTCATCGTATTCGATTTTTTCATCGAAATAAATCGCGGAAATTCCACCATCAAATTCCAATTGTGGTGAATTCTGGGCAATCAAGTACTTTTCATTTGAAAAATCTGGAAAATTATAATTTTCTCATTTCTCTGACAATACAGCAATAAGTATTTATGGAAAGTTAAAAACAAAAATAAAAGCAATGACTTTGGACGATTTGAAAGCAGGTGATACGATTGTAGCTTGAAACGAATGTGAATAAATTATCTTTTCGCAGATCACGGAAACATTAAATTATATTTTTAATTGATAATCCAGAATATACATTTGATGAAAAATTATGCACGAGATTCATGATCTGATGTGTGATAATCAGCAAAGTATAAAGAATTTTAGTCTAGTTAGTGAATATTATGAAATAAATAATATATTCTTACGAATAATGTAATAATTTAATCTCAATATATCATTTTCTGAAATAACTCTTTATTGGCAATATGTAATTGTATACAGTACTTCATTACAAATTATTATTATTCATATATTTTCTAAATTAACATTTTGTCTAATGGTCACATTTTTAAATTTCCATAACTAAAAATCATCGATTAATGTTAGAGAAAAATTGACGAAAACGTCTCTCAGACAAAACTCAAACAAATAATATTTTAATATCTTACATATTGTACTAAACTTTATCATAGATCAACATAATGGCAACTAGATCAGCAGTTGACGATGACAATGTCGAGTCATTTAGAATGATTTATTTGCTAGGCTTTATATTTGTAATTGTACTTAAACTATTAAAAATATTTGTAGTTACAGTGGCATTTTGTATTTCTCATTTATCGCTTATTTCAACGATTGTGTTGATAACTGAACACATGTATTAATCTTTTTTATTGTCACGAGTTTGTAAATTGAATACTATAGTGCTATTAATAATTATCATCTCAAACTACAGCAAGAGAACAATCAAGAAAAATGAAATTTGTATAATATAGTTTGTACCGTACTTTTTTACTTTCTATGATATTACTAGTCAAATACCACCTTTATGTATCCTGGCTTCATCCCTGGATGGGCCCTAGCGCAATGTTGCAATACGTGATCAGGCCGCTTAGTAATAAATTTGCAATGAGGACACTTCTGTCGGGGTACACGCCGACAAACAAAATGTACGTGCCGATAGCGGCTAGTTTTGTGCTTGAATACAAGATTGCAACCTTTATTTGTGCACTTGAACACTTGATTTTGAGGTTTGGGCGAACGCGGAGAAAATTGGCGTATCATTTTTAACGTGGCAGAGTCTTCCAACGACGATGGCGTGTAAAATAACCATTCTTCATCTCCGTTTATCCGTTTTTTACATCTCACATTAGCGTTGATCGCTGCAATTGTGGACAACAATATTATTATTTGACATAAACTGTTAGTATCGAAAGCCTCATTGTGTTAATAGCGAAAGACGTAAGTAATGATGACTGATGAGCTACTCATGAGACGTGAGTATGGAAAGTGATAATAAAACCCTCTACGTATGCTTCCTTACTAAATTTTATTGCACAATTGAATGTTCGTTACATGATGTAATTATAAATAGGTAAGGAAGCAAATTCTCCAAATTTCAGAAATAACATTTCTCGCACTCAGGTTGACGCCAGTGAAAGTTTGCTAACAATTGTCGGTTTTACTTAAATCTATGTACTGGGGTTTGGCCTTAGGATGCATACGATGGCAATGAGCAAGCACATTTTCCGGATACGAAGTGATAAACGCGCAGTACACGCACTTTATGTGAGCCTCGACTTGGCAAACGAATTTAAGATGGTTGACGAGTCCGTGTTTGTATTTAAATGCGCGATCGCAACCTGCATTCGGACATTTGAATGATTTTTCCTTTCTCTGGCATGTGTACTTCAGGTGGAGTCGGATGCTACTTTCATACTTAAAGGTACTTGAACAGCCATGCGTTGGACAATGATATGGTTTTCCGGTTAGAATTATGCCTGTAAAATTATTGATTGTTAGTCACGGACCGAAGGTTCACACTGTTAGACAAATAAGTAATGTTACGAGTTTTTGGTTAAATGTGTTGAGTTGAAAATCATGTAATTAGGTGTTCTGTTCGAAAGGGAAACATCATATTTAGTTATACAAATAAGGAATCAGGCCTTTATTACCTTTCTGATGGAGTAATTACAAAAGAATTTTAAAAAAGTGTTATCAAAAATTTTGAGTACAAAGAATCGAAAATCAATCAGTAAACTTCTTTTTAACAAGTAACCTCTTTATCTGCATCGGTGTCGATACATCTAGGTGTTTTCTCTTTGTGTCTATTTGAGCAATGCCGACGAACGCTTACTGGATATTGAGCAATGTATTTGCAATAATAACATTTAAAACGAGGCTTAATTTTACACTCGAATTCGAGATGACGCTTGAGATACGCTTTTTGCGTGTACGCTTTGTCGCAACCAAGAGTCATACACTTGAACGGTTTTTCCGTGACACATACGTATCTTAAATGATGGGTATAGGCCTGAATACCATAACAAATTCTGTTGCAACCTTCATTAGGACATTTATGTCCTATCTGCATGCAACTCTTTTTCATGTGATTATGTAGGCGCTTTTGGCTTGAAAAGGTTCTGTTACAGCCATCATTCGAGCACACAAATAACCCTCGCTTCTTCTGGCAATCGTATTTTTGCTGTGCACTGACTGCGCACTTTTTGTTGCTATGAGATTTCTCATTTTCATTTTTCTGTTTTAAGGATTTTAAGAAATTAATATCGAACAAGGATTTGCGAGTTCGCTGCGACCTCCGTAATTTGGCGTTTTCTGCGCTGTATTCTGAAATACGACAGAATCAAATTTGTTAATACTATTCAAATATGTTGATCATGTATTTCGAAATATTATTCATACTAACTGCACTCAATTCGAGTTCTTACCTAACTCTGAGATGATCGAGGAATGTTTAGGAGTATCAGTTGCATACTCTTCAACGCCATCTGTAAAAAATCAATTGAATTATTTCAAGATTACAAGCTAAGTTGACGATTGAATATGTTATTATCTATCAGCTTTAAATGTTAATGAATATGGTATGAAAAGAATATGAACCGATAGAATCTACATTTGGTAAGATTGATAAGATAGCCCAACCATAATACCAAAAAGATGAAATATAGGGAGGTAATATATTCGCCAGGGAGTACGATCTTGCAGCCAAACTGATCTCATATGTTTTATGGAGATATCAACTACCTTGGATCAAATAAAGCTTCTATTTTGAAAGGAAAATAGACCTATACTAACTCAATATACCCACTGAAATAACAACCCCAGCATAATTGTAAGCGTGACTCCTGTAGGTAGCGCAAAGAAATATTTCCGCTTTACGGAGTCACATATGCAGAAGGCCTTGCATGCTCTTCGAGGTTAAACAATATAAAAAAAGTATTATATGTGAGAGATAGGAAAGCTTTTGCCAGACATTCAACGACCGCCAGATTTATACCAGTAAGATTTTGGTGATCATAGATGTTGCTTAACATCTAAATAAACAAACCTGTCTCCAATCTATATATTCATATGCGCTATCTAATTGAAATTTCCGTGGATACATTTGAACTTCCATGGCAGTTTTGATGTATCAAACTGTTTTATTCTATATTTTATCAAATTTTAGTTTTCATATTAATCGGCATTGTATACTGTTGCAAGTGTCTGGAATCAATAAATACAAAAACAAATATACACAAAGCGTTTGTCAATGATGAATCGAGCATTTATTACATTTCTTGTGAGTTAAATTATAAAACCATTCAAATAAACGTCTAGTACAAAAAATTTTTAATAAAAATGATCGGAAATCTAGTATTATCTAGTAGTTAAGCACGTAGAAAAAAGTTGAAAATCTAACATTATTTAGTAGCTTATTTTTCGATATAAACCTCTTCAGATATTGGGCCATAAATTCACAATAATATCATTTGAAACGTGGTTCAATTTGACACTTATATACTAAATAACGTTCGAAAGTCCAATAATTACGTTTGTATAATTCAACGCAATCAAAATTCGTATATTCAAATACTTTTTCCGCATGACATGCGCTTTTCAAGTGATGAAAATAGGTTTTTTTTATAGTAATATATTCTATTTAAAATCGTTTATAATACAGTCTTCATTTCGACTTTACGTTTTAATCATTTGCAAAACAATTTTATGTGTTTGAGTAAAATATTACTGTTAATAAAAATTTGATTGCAATCGTTGTGTGAGCAGTTTAGCAACTTCGATTTCACGTTGTATTTGCTTGCATCCATATTTTAAGTGGTTGTTTAAAAAATCTTCGCTAAAAAACGCCATACTACAACCATCGCTTGAGCACTTGAATGGCATTGTATTTATCTTATAACAGCTCAGTTTATACCGGTGATTACTGACAGTGAGATTAGCGGCAATCATTTGTTGTAGCTCCTATTAGGACACTTAAATATTTCATTCTGGTGAGGTGAAGGATTCTCATGGTCGTTAGTCTTGATCAACAATTTGCTAACTCGTTCTGATCTTCGTACATTGGTTTTTTGTTTACTTTCATAACTGGAATTCGAACAATCTTAGTGCATTCTATTATAAGTATAATAAATTTTGTAATATGAATTATACTAACTTGGTTCAATTTCCTCTCAGTTCGTTAATTTAAAGATGAATAAGCGATCCTTTGAAATATTATCAGTATAATCGTCATCTGCAAAGGTAAAATATTTATCTATTACTTTCATATTTATAGCTAAAATGACGGTAAAGTATGTCGTCATATATAATACAATGAAGTCATTAAGCTGATAAAACATTTCATAGGTGGCCAATTAAAAGAAAAAACAATAGTATTATTAGAAACTGTATTTTTCTTTTCGATAATATAATGTTGTAATAAAATAATTTCACTGCTATCAATTGTAAGTTATCGAAAACGATGAAGACAAATTAGTACTTAACGCTTTGTTATGTTTTAATTCTAAATTTTCACATTTAAAGGTTGTATTATCATATTAATATTAAATAATATATGTCACTCTTGTTTAATATTACCTTATACATCTTATACGTAATCTAGTTAGCTTTTTTAAATGATATCTTCATTACATTAACAAGCGAAAATGAAATGGGTATATTTAGTTGCTCGAAAAATCTTATCTCTTATATCCTTTTAATAAAAGTAATCAGGATCACAAATAAGTTGAATACATAAACCATAGATTAGTCACAAAGTGCATTACATGAAACATAATTGAGAGTTTAAATTGCCTTATTAGCACGGGACCTCTTCGTCCGTATTAGTATCGATACATCTAGCTCTTTCTCTTTTGTGTCTATTAGCGCAATGTCGGCGAACGCTCACGGGATAGTAAGTGACGTAGTCACAGTAATAACATTTGAAATGTGGATCAACCTGACATTCGTATTCGAGATGACGCGTAAGTGCTGCCTTTTGCGTGTAGGCTTTTTTACAACCAGGCGTCGTACACTCGTGTACCGTTTTCGATTGACATATGTATTTCAGGTGATGAACGAATGCTTTTCTACTAAAAAATATTCTATCGCACTTTTTACGAGGACAAACTCTTTCCATTTTCCCACAAGTGATTTTCGAATGTTTGAGAAAAGCCGATTCTCGTACGAATTCTTTATCGCAGCCCTTGTGTGGGCACTTGAATAGTTCCAACTTGTGGCAGTTAAAACTCAATGGTTTAACTTGAGCTGGTTTACTGACGTACGAACGTTTCAACAGAGTTTTCTTTTTTTTACGACGAGGCTTTCGCCGTGCTCTTGCCCTTTCATCGTTTTCAATCGTATTTTCCTTCAATCCTTCGAGCAACGACTCCCGCTCGTCTCTTTGATCCGAATCAATATCTGAAATAATAAAAAAAGAATAGCATACAAGAATCTGCGAAAAGGTACACGTGTGAAATGTTATTCATGTACTAACTCGGATTTTCATCCTCATAGACGTCAGCAGGTTTCGTTAAGCGTATCTTGTACCTCGGTATGAGCAAGGGATCCCCAAAATCGCCATAAAAGAATCCATCATTATCACCTATAAATGTTAAAAATGCGTGTATTAGCATCACGGTGCCATCTCACACACTTTTCAAGCACATTTACGTTATTCGCTATACGAAGAAGCAAATGAATGAAGTGGCGTAATTTGGTAATTTTCAAGAGAAACATGTCATGCAAAATAATCATTATAAATCAGCATATTATTACTTTTATTTTTAAAAACGTTAATACGGTTACATTTTTTAATATTTTATTGTTTCTATATACAGTCAATCTATGATTGCACAAGCCCATTAAGCTCATAATGACTGCTATGCCACGATACGAAGCGCACATAAAGACAAGAAAATTCTTCGCTCGGTATAGATATCACCACCCAGTTTCGCCATTGCTTCTGAAAATAAATAATTTATTATTATATTGTTCTTATAATTACTGGATACAGCATATTAACGCTTTTATTAGAATAATGGGTTTTCTTTTCTACAATCAATCTTCATAAAGCGTTGCTTCATCTGTCTGTTAAATGTCCGTTTGTCGATCAAATAAATAAACAAAATTAAAAAATGATAAAATAAAAATTCATCAATATATTGTGCACCATTTATTTATTTTATATATTTAAATTAAAATACAGACTATAAAGCTATTGACATAAACAAAGAAAATGTAAGTATTCAATCAATAATAATGGTTATTGACCAGGTAGAGCGTTGCATTACGTCTCATTAAAACGAATTTCTATTGAAATTGTCAATAAATACAAGTATGAGACTACACTCTGTGATGATGCGTCATCACACGAAAAGCATACTACCGGCTCAATGCGGCAGAACAGCCACGACCGCACATACCCGCCCACGCACTCCCGGATCTCGCGAACTATGACCTCTAGAAACCTCCCTGACCGATTCGCACGACCCTTACGCTCGCGTACAACCCCCCGCGCACTCACGACCCGATCCGACCCTCCCCCGGGGAGCTAGAAGCCCCTAAAGTTTTCAGCCGCGATCAGCTGATCGCAAGCCCCCGTTAGTTAAGGCAGGCCTAGCTAGACTAGAGGTAGGAGCAACCGAGCGCGTGAGAGCGAGCGAGACCGCCGATGCTAGACCGATCGGAAGCGAGCGAGGGGAATCGGTAAGACCAACGAGCGGTAGATAGAAGAAGATAGACAAGCGACGCTAGTTGACTGACCAATCGTTATCAGCTTAGGGGTGGTCGAACTAATGAGGGAAAACCGACGCTATCTTCGCGACCAGTAGGCAAATTAGGCGCGAAGGACCGACCAATAAATAAATTGCGCGGGTAAAAAACGTTAATATAGACGGCGCTGAGACCTGGCTTAGCAACAAGCTAGCCAATCGGCAACAACGAAGGGGAAGTAAACTAGGAGAAGCGGCGCGTCGCCGAAAAACGGCGCGCCAGTAGTAACCGTTAAGCCTCGACGGAAGGACGTCCGCCGAGCCTCGCTGTTGCGCGGTACGAAGAAGTGAGTGAGAATAAGGGAAATAGTAGAAGAAGCTAGTGATAGAAATAGAGAAAGAGATAGTGAAAGTGGAAATAGTAGAAGAAGCTAGTGATAGAAATAGAGAAAGAGATAGTGAAAGTGGAAACAGTAGAAGAAGCTAGTGATAGAAATAGAGAAAGAGATAGTGAAAGTGGAAACAGTAGAAGAAGCTAGTGATAGAAATAGAGAAAGAGATAGTGAAAGTGGAAACAGTAGAAGAAGCTAGTGATAGAAGTAGGCATAAAGAGACAGTGAAAGTGGAAATAGTAGAAGAAACTAGTGATAGAAGTAGGCATAACAGAAATAACGAATAGCAATAAAATAAAAGGATAACGATAACGAAAAAATAACAGAAATAATAGAATAAAGAAATAGCGATAACAGAAATAATAGAATAACGAAATAACGATAACAGGACTAACGGAATAACGATAACGGAAATAACAGAAAAATAATAGAGTAAAATTAATAGAATAAATCTAACGGAATAACGATAACACAAGAGTAAGTACCCTTCCCTTACTATCGATTTTCTATGCATGATCAATAATCGCGAGTTTGCCGCGCATTGTCGACCGCCGCGTTTTCGGGAGTGCCGTACGACCTTCGCGCGTCCGACAGTAATATTCGACCGTTTATTGTTAGCCACCGAAAATCCTTGGTCGAACCGACGTTTAATCATTGTCCGCAATTTGAAGTTGTCGAACGCTCGCGTTTTCGGGAGTGCCGCATGACCTTCGCGCGCATTATGTCTTGACCGAAAACGTTTGCCGTTATCCCCGAATTTTCTTATTACGCTGTTTCTTTGTTCCGCACCTGAAATAATCGCATGACCGCCGAATGTTCGCGCACGGAATCCCGCATGACCTTCGCGCGCCCGTTGCCGTTGCTGCATGTGTTTTCGCCACCGACCTTTCGGGGATAGTTTCTAGTCGCCGTGTTGTTATCATCCGTGAAACGAGTACGCGTCTCTGAATTCCTTTCCGAGTCGATCTAAACATCGCACCAGTCGCGTTAGACCTTCATTCGACCGGTAGGATTCGGATACATTCGCTTTTATTTTGTTCGCGATCGTCGCTACAAATATCGTCGACACCGCGAGCCGTAGTTAGCCTTCGCGTGGCCGGCCGGATTCCGGAGCGCAATTGTTTTGAGCAAGCTGGAATTTTCCGCGAATAGATAAACCGACATCACGTATCCGAATAGTATCTGAAGCCCGAAGCGTTCGACCGAGTTATTATTCGCCTAAGCCGACCTTTGCGCTGTAGTACGCCACTCGCGTCCCCGATAACCCAAATTAGGCTGACCATAGCAACGGGTAGACCACTGGGGTTGACCTGGGGTTTTTCTTTTGCGTAATAAATCCGAATTATCTTTACATCCGACTTATTATTGACTATACCCACTTGATCGCCCCATCCCCCGTAGCTTTCGTGATCGGTTTGAGGTTAATAAGCGCGTACGCGACTGCCCTGATCACCGCCTAACCGGTAGCCACCGTCGCCGCCACTACGCCACCAGTCCAGGGAAGGAGCTAACATCCCCCGAACCACTAGCCGCCAACCGGGGCGCCCCTGCGACGCCCCCCCTCGATGTACCCGCTTCTGGGATTGAGAGCCGCCATGCCCCGAAACATCTAGCTAGCCGAACGAGCCGCAGCCGTGGGTGGCCTTGGAAACCACCCGTTGCCCCCCTTCTTTCCCCTTCGCTCGATACGATTTAGATTCGACCGAATCGTCGCCTAGGACTTCGCGCCCCCGCTTCACTCTTCACAGGTGATAGCCGGCCACGCGCGCAAAGAACCCCGACGGCGACGAGGAGAGAGGCAACGGGGAACCACCCGACCTCACAGCGACCAGCAGGACCACCGAGCCGAGAACCAGCCAACGTTGCAGCGCTACCACGCTCTCCTAACGCGAGAGCACGGTAGCTGGCGCCCAACTTAAACAAAACAAAGCTGCACACGTTGTCTCGGCTGACTGCGCGCCGCTGGCGACAGTGCGAGACCGGAGAAATACCGTCTGTTATTTTTCCCCTCCCTCTCCCCCGTCGCAAATGGCGCCCAACGTGGGGCCCACGCCATCAAGTTAGTCGACGATTAGTGGCTAGGGCGACACCCCTACCCCCGATCCGACCAAGTGGCGTACTGCGACTGCGAATAAGGCGATAATCAGAAGCGAATAATCTGAGGAACTTAGCGATTACATGCGACTATATGCGATGTGCTTGTGATTATATGTGATTATATATGAATTATATGTGATTATGTGTTTGAATTTGAAATGCTGCTAACTGATAATATACTAACCTATGTGTGGGCTGACCGAGATAATAGTATAAGTTGTTCGGGTAAATTTTAAGACGATCGCGATTGTTGGGCCTGACCTGGGACCTTATATCCCCTGTGTTTGCGTTGGGAAGATTTTCTGTGGTAGACCTGCGAGAGTACCCGGCTAGACCTTTTGTTTAGCTAAGGGCTCGAAACCAGTTATTGACCGACCTTGGATAGGTCGTTGATTAGGGGTTTGACCACTGGGTTCGTACGACCTCGCGACTTTCTGTCCCGGGTAGCAAATCCCGATTGGACTTTACTCCGAACGTGGAGTGAGACCAAGCCTGACCAGTCGAACTGGCCAGTAAGGATAAGCCTGACCTTCGGGAACCGAATGACCTCGCGACCGTAGAACTCAGTAATAGACCTCAACTGGAATTAACCCCTTCAGTGATAACTAGATTAAACCGAGTATTAAACCAGGAAACCACAGTGCTTAACGCATTAGCTGCTTGGCGCAGAATGACATCCAACGCAAGTACAGGAGTACCGACCACCAGGACCGAGGACATGGACACCTTTGAAGGATCCGAGGACCAGCCATGGGACAACCTGAGGATGTGGGACACCCTTAAGAAGTCACATGCTGGACGAGAAATAGCCGTGACGATTAAGGAGATGACGCTTGACGAGGTACATGGAGAAATGGAGCGACTTGGACTCCCTATTACTGGACTACCTGACGTCGACCGCCTTGAGTACCTGCGATACCGTCTGCGGGAGGAGCGAGTAAAACCGGATCAACGAATTAAAGGATCCCTACACCTTAGCACCTTTCCATCGTACTGCACCGTATTATGGCGCCCTGTGGAGACCAGTAGCGATGCCCAAACGCACCAATCGGAATCCACAGCAGCGGAGGGACGAAGTCGCCCAAAATCCAAAGTTGCTAAGGCCATCGAAGAAAGCGACCACGACCAGAACGCCAGATCAGGAACGAAGGCGCTTAAGGCCCGCCCGCTTTCTAAGGTACCAAGTCAAGCTGACCCGTCCGACCTAGCTGATCCGAGTACCTCAGAGGATGACACAGCCGATCCGACAGGAAGATTACGGCGGTCCAAACGGACCCAACAAGCCTCAGCGATCAGTGGAGCGCGCAATCATAAGAGAGCCGACGCTGTCATGGAACAGCCGGCCAAGAAGGGCAAGAATATCCGAAAGATACCACCGCATGGGGCAGCCGACCAACCTGAGATGCATTTGGAGCTTTCGGAACGCACCGGAAC